TATGATTCCAGGAATTCAGCTGTTTCTTCTAGACTATCCAGTTGTTGGCATATAATTGTTCCTAGTAGTATCTTATGATCCTTTGTATTTCTGTGGAATCAGTTATAATGCCTCATCTTTCAATTGTAATTTTATTTATTTCAGTCTTCTCACCTTTTTTCTTTCTTTAAAAAGTTTTTTTTTCCCTTTATTTTAGAGGGTGGTAGAGCAGAGGGAAAAAGAGAGAGAATCTTAAGCAGACTCCACACTCAAGACATAGCTGATGCAGGGCTCAATCTCACAACCGTTCTAGATCATGATCTGAGTCAAAATCAAAAGCCAGACCCTTAACCTACTGAGCCACCCAGGTGCCCCTTTTCACCATTTTACTTATTCTAACTAAAGGTTTGTCAATTTTGTTTATCTTTTCAAAAAATTAGCTTTTAGTTTTGTTTATCTCTTCTAGGGCTTTTAGTGGAGCCTGCAAGCTGGTTAGTATCTGTGAGTGGTTGTTGAGATCCATGTGCTGGATACTGTGAATCCCTATCCTTTTTTTCTGTTTCTAGCTGCTCCCAGGTGATTTGGTTATGCCTATCCCCTGAGTGTTCTGGGTGGGATGAGACAAAAGTGGGTCATGAGCAGTGTCCTGCAAAACTAGGGAAGTTGGGTACTCACTTTGCTCTCTCTTTTCCTTGCGGGAAAAATTGTGGACCAAGGGGTTCTTTCTTAGTCCTAAATTGTGCCCCCCGGGGGAGAGTTGGTGCTGGTGAAATGAAATGCTCTTCTTATACCCTTCTGTGCATCTATTCTTGGATTTTTTGCTTCACCTGGATGCTGGAACCTCTCAATGTACTCCTGGACTCCAATAAAGGTATTATCATTCATGAGTGGTTGTTAAAATCAGTGTTTCTATGGGAGTTACATAAGTTAGATATTATATCCTGCCATTTTTCTGTCATACCATGATTATATTTTATTTTTAAAAATTTTTTTAATGTTTGTTTATTTTTGAGAGACAGAGAGAGACAGAGTGTGAGCAGAGGAGGGGCGGGGGGTGGGGGTAGACACAGGATCCAAAGCAGGGTCCAGGCTCTGAGCTGTCAGCACGGAGCTTGACGCAGGGCTCGCAAGGGCCATGAGATCATGACCTGAGCTGAACTAGGATGCTTAACTGACTGAGCCACCCATGGCACCCACCACCCCCATGATTATATTTTAAAGAAAATAAAAATAAAGGAGAGATGTCGCAAGGTCAGGCTGAGTTCTAGAAGCTTCCAGAAGGCTCTAAACCTAAATGGATTACATAGAGCTTCGTAGAGACAAACAAGGGAGCTAGATGCTTGATAGGGTAAGAAGGCCAGCTTCCAAGTGAAATTGTGGTCTGACTTACACGTTGCTTCAAAGCTTGTCCTGGGCAGGAGGAGGGAAAGTGCACTCAGTGGCTCAAGAGGGGCACAATTAGGACCAGTGGTAGGTTGGGGCAGAGGAGAGTCCAGCACAGTATGAGAAGGCAGGGTCTTCCAAATATTGGAGGGCTCCTCAGAGAGGCCAAGCCAGCCACAGTGGTAACTGTGTACAGACACAAGCCAAGGCCTGCCTCTGTAGGCTCATCAGAGCTCAAAGGCAGTGACAGGCCTAATTCTCTGAAATGGCCCCTGTCATTTGAGTCAGCTAATCCCCTCTTGCAAATTTGTCGTCTTTATTTTCTTTTTCAGGTAGGTTCATAAATTCATAAACTTTTGTCCTTTCTATGGCAGCAAATGATACTAGAAAGCTAATTAGCTACAGAGCTAATTTTCATGTCAGAGTGAAATTATAGGTTTCATGGTATAGAACCAAATTATCTTTCTGTCCCTCCTCATCCTCCACTCCCCATCCACTACAGTTCCTTCCTCCACCATTTGTATATACTCCCCTCTTCTGTCTGGTCACAAATGTCAGCAGAGAGGGGTAGCCACTCTGGAGCCCCTTTCTTTTCTGTGTCAGGCATATTTGCATTTGCAAACAGCTTTAATTGAGTAGAGTTTTCATTGCTCTTTTTCCTGCTCTGTTTTTTAAATGCAAATGTTAATGTTTGGTTAGCATGGGTTCAGAATTAAGCTCCTGCTACCTGTGGCTGCCTCCTTCCCTGGGTTCTAAATAAGCACTGTGGAGTGTCACAACCTGCTGGGAGCTTGTGAGTCCTGGAAAGCTGGAGTCCAGCTAATTGCCAATCACGCTGAGAGGGCTGGGCAGAGCCTTGTCTCACTTACCAGCTCTCATGGAGTCCTGCTTCCTACCAGCACCAAAGGAGAGAAAATTAGTGTGCTGGGAACAGAAAGGGAGGTGGGAGAAAAGACTGCTCTTTAGAATTAGGTCCTGGACTCTCTTTTGGCATGAAAACTTCGTGGAATTTGGAAAGCTATTGGAGATCATCAACCTTGAGTCCCAAAAGTTGGATTCTCTTAAACCATGTTCTTAATGGTTTGCTATAGGACCTCTGGATACTCTCAGTGGTGAGGGACTCCTTCCTTCACAAGGCAGACTCTTCTACTGAGAAGCAGCTCTGTTATAAGAGGTATACTTAATGTTGAGTAAAAGTTAATTTCAGCCATTGGTTTCATAGAACGTGGTTGATCTCATTTCCAGGTGACGACCTTTTGGATATTTGGAAGCAGCTCTATAGAGCCTAAAATGCCTTTCCCCCTGCAAACTAAAGAGTCCCTGTTTCTTCAGATCTGTTACATATCCAATCCTTTATCCATCCTACTCCTCTTCTCTTTGAGGACTAAAGTTATGTGACTCCTATGAAGTGATTAGGAGTGTGGTAATCCAACTATGGATTGACCAGCACAAGGTAGAATAAGGCTTCCCATCTCCCTCCCATTCATCTGAGCTCTTCTCATTTACCAAGACTGCCCAAGAGGCTGCAGACTTTCCTAAGGCTCCATGTTGTACAGTCCACCCTTGCTGAGCCTACAACCAATTCCAGTTCCAAGCTCTTTCTCAAAAAGGTATTTTCTAGCTGAGTAAACAATGCAGAAGTCAACCTTTATTTAGGGACCACTGAACTTCTCATTTAGTGACAATGTATATTCTTCTGAAGTGTCAGAGCTTTAACCCAATGAGAGACTCTCATAGGGGATTATAAACCTATAAGAGAGGATATGTTTATAGTGTGCCCAATATTCTCTTTCAGAAATCAGGGACCTGGGTGCTCAGAAGTCTTAGCAAGAGCAGTATTCCAGGAACCTGGGTGCTTCCTTAGCCTAAGGCCTTCAGTGCATAATTTTAATAGAAGAAGGTCAAATCTAAAATCTGTAGATAATCCTAAGAAGTTATCAATCTGAAAAGAACTAATCAGTGAAGGAGTATCTGAAAGAGAGCAATTGGGTGAAAGAAATGTGTGGGGTAAGGTTTGCCAGAAGGTTTCTTAAAGGTTTACTTGGCAGACTATGGTTGGAAAAGGAGATGTGAAGGAGGCATGACAGGAGAGAAGAGAAGCCATAGCCAATAGCACATTTCCTGTTTCCCTCTAAGTTCAGTGCCACTACCTCCATCACTATAACAACTCATATCGCATGAAAAGTAGTATTTATAGGGTAGGCAGGAGGAGTGACCTGTCACGGTGACCTTTGCCCCCAGTTCAGAGGTGTTTATCTTGCCAGGTCTCACCCAATAATATTTTCTTCTTCTGGACTCTGGACATGTTGCATTATACAAGAGCCTCAGGTACCTTGTCACCCAGGATATTTTTCTTAGACTCATATATGAGCTCTCCCATGTCTAGAATCAAGATAAAAGATGAATTTTCACATTATATAAATTCTACATATTGAGAGATGCATGGTCTGTTGACTGTCAACTCTTGATTTTGGCACAGTTCATGATCCCAGGTGGAGAGAATGCTTAAGATTCTCTCTCTCCCTCTCCCTCTGACTCTTTCTCCTGCTTATACACACACACACACTCTCTCTCTCTCTCTCTCTCTCTCTAAAATAAAATTTTTAAAAAGTTAAAAAAATTCTACATATTAAATAATGGAAAGATGAAGGATCCATGTTGTATTTGTATGACCAGGCCCTATTCACAAAAAGAAGGCTGCAGAAATATTCTGCATTCCCTCAAGTGGATTTAGCCATGGAAAAGGAAATGTAGGATGCTGGTGTGCCGGCAGCATTGTGAACAAAGGGAGCTAAACAATGGATCTTTACATTGGATGGCCAGTATAATTTGTAGCAACTCCATTTCCATATACCCTTTTATTGTCACCATTTAGGCATTCCTGCTAACATGAATCCCTCCAGGACATATTGGCTCTCTATGATAATAGAGGGATCATTTGATTTTTATAACTATTTCTGGACTCTCATAGTAGACACCAGGCATGGCACTGATCATGGTATTCTTGAATGACTCCATTTGCAGTTATGGAATTTGAAATTCTAGAAACTGCTGTTTGTTCTAGGCAAGGGCATCTTGTGCTAGGATGAATTTTGTGAATAGCAGTGTTGTGGATATGTTTCCTGGATGGAAAAGAAACAAACAGTGATGCCTTTAAGTGGAGAAAGAAAAAGGTAATGTTCACAGATGCACAAAGTTGCTTTTTTTTTCAGTTTTAACCTGTCTGCAAGCTGTTTTGGGTATACTACTTCAATGAATCCTTACAACCTGTGCAACAATAATCATTTTGCAGTTGGAAAAAAAAAAAACTGTTTTTGGAAGACATGAAATGACTCTTTCAATTAGCAGTGGATGAGATTGGACTTGCACCCAGAACTCACCTCCACCAGCCAGCCTCACAGTCTTTTCTACTTTTCCACAAGCTGAGGCCTTGGTTCCAAAGATCTGTGGATGAGAGCTAGAAGCTCTGGGCTAGCTGGGAAAAGAGTTTTGGCTCAAATCCCGGAGCAAAGCTGCCCTCAAGGGTTGGATTTTAGACAATCTGACTGATTCAACCAGAATGTCCTGAGGACTTAGTGAGTGCGAGTCACTCAAATGGAGATGGATCAGACACAGTCCTTACCTTCAGGAAAGCCACAGTGTGGGGAAACAGCAGATTCACGTGAAAAATTAAATTTGAACTAGGAGTTCTGAGGCAGGTGAGATCAGAGATTTCAGGAATTTCAGGAAGACCGATAACACTAGCAGGTATGGAGGCTGGGAGAGAAAATTCAAGGGACAGGAGAAGCCGTGAATAAAGATGCTGAGCTAGACATGCTCATACAATGTTTATACTGAGGAAGAAGCCTAACTTCCCAGAACATAGCATGCAACAGGGGAAATGGAAAACCAAGCTACCAGTTCCTCCTTGAATTTGTCTGCTTTTTAAAGTCTTTTAAAAAATGACTTACCCCTCTGTGCCCTCTGCAAGCTCACATAACTGATGGGTAAAGAGCTAAGTGGAAAGAAGAATAAATTCATATATATATTTAAAATTGTCATGAAATAGCCTCCATAATCATGTCAGGAAAAATAAATACATCTGGCAGCCTCACCTTTTATTTTGAAGGGCTCTGCCAGAAGCTTCTTCCTAGAAGAGCTATAGAAAAATGGCCTTGTCTCAGAATGCTGTGATGTGGTGGCATCTGCAGTGGGCCACCAGGATTGATTCCATCATTTATTTCCAGTGCGCTGGCCAAGGCACCAAATTGAGCCATGCACACAGTGGGATGCATCATTTCTAGACCGGCAGTCACTTATGGCTGAAAATGAAAACAATCAAAAATTTTAAAACATCAAAGGCATGTCCTAAAGAATAGAACCAAATCTGATATATCCAGAGCCACACGCTAATCAGGTTAAGCTAATAAACAAATTCAGGATACAAAATCAACATGCAAAAATGAGTTTCATTTCTATACACTAACAATGAATTATCTGAAAAGGAAACTAAGAAAGCAAGCCCATTTACTATAGCAGCAAAAAGAATAAAACACTTGGGAATAAACTTAACCAAGGAAATGGAAGATATGCACTCTGAAAACTATAAAATATTGATGAGAGAAATCAAAGAAGACACAAATAAATGGAAATATAACCCATATTCATGGTTTGAAGATTTAACATTGTTACAGTGTCCATACTAGACACTAGTAATCTAGAGTCACTGCAATCCCTATCAAAATTCCAATGATCTTTTTTAGATATAGAAAAAATAATCCTAAAATTCATATAGAACCACAAAAGATCTTGAATAGCCAAAGCAATCCTGAGAAAGAAGAACAAATGAGAAGCATCACAATTCTTGATTTCAAAATATATTACAAAGCTATAGTAATTAAAACAGTAAGGTATTGGCATATAGACCATCTAGACATATAGACCAATGAAACAGGATAGAAAGCCCAGAAATAAACCCATGCATACACAGTGAACTGATCCTCAATAAGGGTGCCAGGAAAAAACAATGAGGAAAGGATACTCTCTTCAATAAATGCTATTGCAAAAACTGATATTCGTATGCAAAAGAATGATATTGGATCTATATCTTATACCATATGCAAAAATCAACTCAAAATGGATTAAGGGATGCCTGGGTGGCTCAGTTGGTTAAGCATCTGACATCAGCTAAGGTCATGATCTCATGATTTGTGAGTTCAACCCCCACACCAGGCTTGCTGCTGTCAGTGCAGAGCCTGCTTCAGATCTTCTGTCTCCCTCTCTCTCTGCCCCTCTTCTGCCACTGCTCTCTCTCTAAAAAATTGATTAAATATTTAAACATAAAGCCTGAATCTATAAAACTCCTAGAAAAAGAGAAAAGGGGAAAGCTTCATGATAGTGGTCTAAACAATGATTTCTTGGATATGATACCAAAAGCACAAGAAACAAAAACAAAAAGAAACAAGTGGGATTACATCAAACTAAAAAACACAACCAAGGAAAAATCAAAGGAAGGAAGCCTATAGAGTGGGAGAAAATATTTTTTTTTTTTTTTTTTTTAGTATCTGGTATAAGTTATTTTATTTATTTATTTATTTTTTATTTTTTATTTTTATTATTATTATTTTTTTTTACAAATAGTTTATTGTCAAATTAGTTTCTACATAACACTCAGTGCTCATCCCCAAAGTGCCCTCCTTCATGCCCATCCCCCCCTCCCCCCCACATCCATCAGTCCTCAGTTTTTGTCAGCATTCAAGAGTCTCTCATGGTTTGCCTCTCTCCCTTTCCCCCACCATTTCTGCCCTTCTTCTCCCCCTTGGTCCTCCGTCAAGTTCCTCCTAATCCTCCTATACGTGCAAACATATGGTATTTGTCCTTCTCTGCCTGACTTATTTCGCTCAGCATAACACCCTCAAGGTCCATCCATGTTGCTACACATGGCCAGATTTCATTGTTTCTCATTGCCATGTAGTATTCCATGGTATAGATAAACCACATCTTCTTGATCCATTCGTCTGTTGATGGACACTTAGGCTCTTTCCATGTTTTAGCTATTGTGGAGAGTGCTGCTATGAACATTGGGGTACATGTGCTCCTATGCCTCAGCATGAGAAAATATTTTTAAACCATGTATTTGATAAGGGGTTAATATCCAAAATGTTTAAAGAACTCTTACAACTCAATAGCAAAATAATAATAATAATAATAATAATAGTAATAAATAGAAAAATGGGCAGAGGACTCAAATAGACATTTTTCCAAAGGAGACATACAAATGGGTAATAGATATATAAAAAGATGCTCAATATCACTGATCATCAGGGAAATGGAAATCAAAACCACAGTGAAATATGACCTCATACCTGTTAGGATGGCTATTATCCACCCCCAACTCCCACTAAAAAACCCCCACAAAGGTAACAAGGACTGGTAAAAATATGGAGAAATTGGAGCCCTGGAACACTATTGGTGGGGGTGTAAAATGATGCAGCTACTATGGAAAATAATATGGAGGTTCCTTTTAAAACTATGAACAGAACTATCACAATATCTAGCAATCCTTCCTCTGGGGATATATCTAAAAGACTTGAAATCAACATTTCAGAGATATGAGCTTACCTATGTTCACTACAACATAGTTCACAATAATCAAGATATGAAAACAACCTAATGTCTTTTATGAATGGGTGCCATTCATTTGCTACTTACCATTTACCACAACCTGGATGGACCTGGAGGATGTTGTGCTAAATTAAATCAGCCAGTCACAAAAGGACAAATACATGATCCCTCTTATATGAAGTATCTAAAACAGCCAAACTCATAGGAACAGAATAGAATGGTGGTTGTCAGGGGGACATGGAGTGTTACTGTTCAAATGGCATAAAAATTCAATTATGCAAGATGAGTAAATTCTAGAGTTCTGTTGTACAACATTGTGCCCATAATCAACAATACTTTATTGTATAATTTTTAAGTGCATGTATTTTTTAGAAAGACCATATACATGGAGGCCCCTTCTTTTCTTTGGACCTTGATTTTCCCATCTATAAAATGGCCAAGTTGGACTTAGTGATTGCTAACTGTAAATGTTAACCTAAAAAAGGTTCATTCTAAGTTGGTTCCTTGATGTTTTGAAAGACTAATGGCTTTAAAACAATATAATGGTCATTTGTTAGGTGAAATTTTTAAAGATCTTAATATGAATTAAAAGTAGCAAAATTTCCATCTTTGTTTTTTATGTTATCTCCCCACCCCAATTAAAATAATATTGCCAGAGGGGCACCTGGGTAGCTCATTTGGTTAAGCGTCCAACTTAACCTGGGTGGCTCAGGTCATAATCTCACAGTTTATGAGTTCGAGCCCCACGTCAGACTCTGTGCTGACAGCTCAGAGCCCGGAGCCTGCTTTGGATTCTGTGTGTGTGTGTGTCTCTCTCTCTTTCTCAAAAATAAATAAATATTAAAATAATACTAGTAGAAGGAGAAAGTAAGTACCCCAGATTTCATTGCCTATCAGCAACCTCTGTTAACACTTTGACATATTTCCATTTAGGACTATTTTAATGTTTTGTTTGTTTGTTTTAGTTTTTGGTTTTTGTTTTTTTGAGGTGGTATGTCTTTTTGTTTTTGTGGTTGTTTTTTTCATAGTTAAGTTCATATTGTGTATACAAAATTTGGGGGTCCTACTTTTAGTTAATTTATTTTCATTAATCCAACCAGCAAACATGTATAGATAACCTATTATGCATAAGGCATCATGCCAAACATTGAGGAAACAAAATAAACAAGATGCAATTCTAGTTCTAAAGAATCTCATAACCTAGATGGGAAGATAGATAAGTGATCCAGTAACTAAAATTAAGTGTAATAAGATCTTTAGGAGAGGAAGCACACCATCCTGTGGGATGGAAAGGCTTCTCAGTGATTACAAAGTCTTTTCTTAATTTTTTTTTAATGTTTATTCATTTTTGAATGGAGAGAGACAGAGTATGAGTGAGGGAGGGGCAGAGAGAGAGGGAGACACAGAACCTGAAGCAAGCTCTAGGCTCTCAACTGTCAGCACAGAGCCCAAAGCAGGACTCGAACCCATGGACCTCAGATCATGACCTGAGATGAAGTTGGACACTTAACCAACTGAGCCACCCAGGTGTACCTACAAAGTTTTAAGTTGAAACAAGTACGAGTAAGCACACGGCTGCTTAGCACTCTATTTCATAGGTACCCTTGCAGCCACGTGTGGACAAGTAGCTAAATAATGGCCAATAGGATGTAGTCGGATGTCATATGTTACCTTTTCTGGATCCTTCCCTTGTCTCTCTAGCCCTTCCCTGTTGGTTGGCAAGGGAAACGATGGTGGCAGCAGGAGCAACCACCTTAGACCATCTTGGATGGAACCTGCATAGTGAAAACTATGGAGCCACAGGATAAAAGGAATCAGGGTTCCTCTATCAGTCCTGAACTTCTTTAAGTCCAGAATTGAACTTAGATTGGTATATAAAAGAGAAAAAAAATAATCATCTACCCTGTTTAAAAGCTGCTATGATATTTGTGTCTTTGTTCTAGCAGCTGGAATCTCAATCTTAACTACTACAGATGACAATAGGTGGGAGTCTAGAGAAGTAGTCAGGGATGATGGAGTCAGAGGCAGAGGAACTTGTAAGACAATCTCAACCTTATCCTGAAGGCATTGGTGAGCTCTTAAGGAGTTCTGTCTGACTGCTGCATCAAGAATAGATCAAAGCAGGCAAGAATGGAGGCAAAGAGGCCTGATAGAAGGCTGTTGCCATCACCTTGTGAGTGAGGTTAGCACAGTAGCTAATGGATTCTAAAGTTACTGAGGGTACTGAGGAAGAACTGACATGTTTAGGATCACTGGATATGGCAGGAAAGAGGGAGTCAAACATCCTTGGTTCTTGCTTGGATGCATTAATAGGAGACACAAGAGGAAGACCATGATTTGGAGGAGGAATAAGAAGTTTGGCTTCTGACATGTTGAGTTTAAATGCCTGTAGGACTTTCAGATGACATATCAGATAAAGGGCTAGTATCCAAAATCTATAAGGAACTTACCAAGCTCCACACCTGAAAAACAAATAATCCAGTGAAGAAATGGGCAGAAGACATGAACAGACACTTCTCCAAAGGGGACATCCAGATGGCCAACAGACACATGAAATGATGCTCAATGTCCCTTTTCATCAGGGAAATATAAATCAAAACCACACTGAGATACCACCTCAAGCCGATCAGAGTGGCTAAAATGAAAAAATCAGAGGACTCTAGATGCTGGCAAGGATTTGGAGAAACGGGCACCCTCCTACACTGTTGGTGGGAACGTAAACTGGTACAGCCCCTCTGGAAAATGGTGTGGAGGTTCCTCAAAAAATTAACAATAGAACTCCCCTAGGACCCAGCAATAGCACTGCTAGGAATTTACCCAAGGGATACAGAAATGCTGAGGCATAGGGACACATGTACCCCAATGTTCATAGCAGCACTCTCAACAATAGCCAAAACATGGAAAGAGCCTAAGTGTCCATCAACGGATGAATGGATCAAGAAGATGTGGTTTATCTATACGATGGAATACTACATGGCAATGAGAAACAATGAAATCTGGCCTTGTGTAGCAATATGGATGGAACTTGAGGGTGTTATGCTGAGAGAAATAAGTCAGGTAGAGAAGAGCAAATACCATATGTTTGCACATATAGGTGGATTAGGAGGAACTTAATGGAGGACCATGGGGGAGGAGAGGGCGAAAAATAGTTGGGGAGAGGGAGGGAGGCAAACCATGAAAGACTCTTGAATGCTGAGAACAAACTGAGGGCTGATGGGGGTGGGGGAGAGGGGAAGGGGAGTGATAGGCATGGAGGAGGGCACTTGTGGGGATGAGCACTGGGTGTTATATGGAAATCAACTTGACAATAAACTATTTAAGGAAAAAAAAAGCAATTATTTGCAAAGTTCTGCATCTAAGGATTAAATGTGTTTCATAAAATGTAGCAATACAACTTGTAACAGGGCATGTGACATGCCATCATGTCTTACATCTGCAACTAAAAGTGTCAAACTAAAGACATATTTCTAAGGGTACCTGGTTGACTCAGTTGGTAGAGCATGTAACTTTTGAGCTTAGGGTTGTGAGTTCAAACCCCACGTGGGGTATAGAGCTTACTTAAAATAAAATAAAGATGTAGTTTAAAGAAAAAAATAAATACCTGTAGGACCTTCAGATGTAGGTTTCAGTAAGCAACTGACTTATAGACCTAGAATTCTTTCTAGATACCTGGGCTAGAGTTACAGATTTGGGAATCATTAGGGTAGAAATCGTCTCCAAAGTCATAGAAGCAAGGGTAACCATCAGTGAGATAGCCAGCCAGAAAACAAGGGGCCTGTGCGTAGAGCCAATATCTAAGGGGAGCATACAAAGACAGAGGAGAGAACCTGCACATGAAACCCACAGAGTGTCTGAGAAGTGTCTGTCACCAAGACCAAGGGAAGGTGCTGGTATAGATGACAGAGGCCAGCCATGCTAATTGTTGCAGAGAGGCCAATTAGGCTAGGAACACTAAGCATGATGTTCTGTGAGCTAGGCATTTACTCAATACATGTTCGAGTGAATTGCTAATTGGTAAACCACTAAATTGATGCTGTTGTTTTTAACTTAATTATTTGCTCTGTTTTGGTTTTCTTTAGAAACAGCACATCTAAATTGTGTTTGTTGAGACAAAGTGGTAAACCCTGCCCTTGTTAACTCTTGTTTCTTGGGTTAAATAATGGACTTAAAAGTTAAAACTTAAAAAAAAGAAACTTTGTTGTTCTGAGTGGCTATAAAGGTACTATGTATTCACTAAAAATTTGTTTACAAATATACATAAAAATGAAAGAAGACAATAAAGATCGTGCCAGGCAAGGCAGATAGAAGCTGGTGGTAATTTCCTTTGGCCATGGTCATGGTCCACAGAAGCCACCTCCAGGGAATAGGACTTAGAAGGGTGTGATTCAGGTGTGGAAGTCAATATGGCAGCTTAGAATAACTGTTCTTTCCCTTCTGTGAGTCAGGGATGCTCCTGAGAATCTGGTTACAGCTTTGGACTTCCTCCCCAGAAAAATTCCTGGAGCATTTATGCATACAATTTTACATTTAGTTTTTGTGGGACCCTGAGATGGGTCTGAGGGCTTCCAAACTCAGAATTGTTTTCACTGAGAGCCATGCCCCTCTTCTCCCTAGTTTGGAAATGTCTCTGACAGAAATTATCCTCAAGGGCCTCCAGTTGCCTGGGATGGTCCTTTTCCTCCATCTGTTGAGCAGCCAAAGACACGCTGGGCTCATTCAGGGTTTTTGAGTCACAGCTACTGTCAACTACCAGTGGCCTCACCAGTGAGATTCCTTCTTAGGCCAAAGGAAAAGCTTGGAGCTATTAGAGTTATCCTTTATTGTAACACCCATTCTACAATAAGAAAACCAAGGCTCGGAGAAGTTAAGCAATCTGGCCAAGGTTGTGTAGTCAGTTCATAGCACAGCAGGTCTTGGTATTGGAGAGTCTGGGGACTCAACGTTGCATTTTCCACTGCCATGTACTGCCTCCTGTGCGAGGTATGCTGATGTGCTTTTTCCCCAGATTGTCCCCCTCCCATAATACGCACAGCCCTGAAGTTCCAGGGTTTGTGGCCGGCAGACTCCTAGTCTATAGAACTGCCTGCTACTCCTTTGGATTCACTATGCTGAATTGCCAGATTTGAGAATTGATATCATC